GGCTGGTAAAGGGCCCCAGCAGACTGGGATGGGCTGCCGAGGCGAGGCGGCAGGGGCAGAGGGGATGCAACACGGGGGCCCCGGGGCTGCCCAGGGTCCTAGGCCACCCCCTCCACATTCCGATAATTCCTGGAGCAGCCGGCGTGGCGGGAGCCTGGGGGGCACTGGGACAGAGAGGGCCCCGCCCGCTATTACGGAGGGCTAGAGGCTGTGCTCGCCTGCGCCCCCACTGTTGTTTCCCAAACTTGGGTTCCAAACTCAGAACGGTTGTCCCCCATTCCTGGACCAGAAAGCCTCCGCCTCACCAAGCCCGGGGAAAGTTCTCAGAGTCAGACCACACTCCTTCCGGCCTGGGCTAGCTTCGCCCGCGGGAGGAGCAGCTCCTTCGCTGCCGGGCTGCGGACCCAGCAAGGACAGGGACAGCCGGTCAGGGCGCTCAGGGCTCAGGCGGGCCCGCCTTGCCCGCGGTCCCAGGTGGATCGAGCCCCGCCCCGCCCTCGGCCTCGGGGGCGGGGCGGCGGAGCGGGCGGGGCGGTACAAAAGGCGGCCCGCCCCCGCTCGGCGCTGACTCGAGTGTCCGGGTTGCGCAGCCTGGAGGCGGAGGCGCGTGGGGCACCCGGGCCAGCCCACACCCCTCACCAGGTAGGGACGCTCCCCTGCTCAGAGGGCAGAGGGTGTAGGCAGAAAAGGCAGAGAGGAGGTGGGGCGAGCAGAGAGACCAAGACAGAAGGCAAAGAGAGAAGAGGGACTTGCCCGGAGACAGGACGGGGACAGGAGGGCACAAGGTCAAGGTGCAGGTGGGGATGGAGGCCTGAGGGGTGGAGGGCCCAGGACAGGACGGACCTTGGGTGGGATGGGGGGGCACAGAAATGCCCCGCACCCCATTTCCTTGGCCTTGAAGGTCCCTGGGTAGGTCAGTGAGAGGCTTCTCTTCCTTGCAAGCCAGGGTGACAAACTGGCCCTGCCGCGGGTCCTGCCCGGGTCTCAGGAGTCAGGGTCTCCTGCGCTGCTGGATCCTCAGCTCCAGGAAGCGGGACTCACGCCCTGCTGTGCCAGGGAGCCCTGCCACCCTCCGCCTCTGACCCTGGCCTCCGCCCTCTCTGGGCCCAGGAGGCACCATGGGCCACTGTGTCCCGGGGCTGCTGCTGCTGCTGCTGCTTCTGTCTGGCCAGGGGGCCCTGGGGGCCCGGAGGGGCCGAGGGCGCCGGGAGCTCTCCCCAGGCCTGCACCTGCGGGGCATCCGGGACGCAGGCGGCCGCTACTGCCAGGAGCAGGACCTGTGCTGCCGGGGCCGCACTGACGACTGTGCCCTGCCCTACCTGGGCGCCACCTGTTACTGTGACCTGTTCTGCAACCGCACCGTCTCCGACTGCTGCCCCGACTTCTGGGACTTCTGCCTCGGCGTGCCACCCCCCTTCCCCCCCGTCCAAGGTGGGCACCAGGGTGGCCAGGAGAGCGGGTCACGGTCAGCCCTTGCCTGGGCCAGGCTCCGGAGCTGGGCTGAGGCACTGATAGTCCGGGGCGGGGGCGTCGCAGCACCTAGGACAGGGGCTGCTCCTGCTCCTCCCGGAGGCCCGGGGACTGACTCCTGTCTAGCTCCGGTTGGCGTCTGAGCAGCCCAGGGGAAGCCAGCTTCCCGCCCTTTCTCCCAGTTCTTTCCCTGCTCCGGAAGGGAAGGTGCTAGCCCAGCCTGCTGACGCGCCCTGAGCGACAACGCGCAGGGTGTTCAGTGCCGCCCCGGCCAGTCTGCCTTTGCCCTGCGTCCGCGCCCCCGGGCGTCTGCCCACGGCTGGGAGGTGGGTCCACGCTGCCTCTGCCTTCAGCTGCCCTCTTCCGTGCACTGGTCGGAGAGAATCACAGCTGGGGGGCTGTGCGCTAGGACAATGTGCACCTGGGTCTTGATCCCAGAGGGTGTGTTACCTGCGTGGAGCTGCCCACCTCGGGCTTTGGCTCCCCGCCCCCACTGCCCATGTCCAAGCCCAGACTCACTTATCCCCGCGGTCGGGGGTTAAGTTCCGGGGAGGACTGGGGTGTGTGTGAGGGTGTGTGTGTGCTGACACGGCCTTGGGAGGGCTCGGGCACCTGACCTTTGAGGACTGGCCCTCTCAGCCCTTCTCCCTGGCCCCGTCCCCACAGCTCTCCCTCTCTTCACTCCCGTCAGGATGCACCCACGGGGGGCGAGTCTATCCTGTCTTGGGGACCTACTGGGACAACTGTAACCGCTGGTGAGTGTCCGGGGCCTGGGGGGCTTGCCTGCGGGCTTTGCGACCAGCGTCCCTGGCTTAGATCCCCCAGCCGGTCTGTGGGACGAGCCCTCGTCCTCTGGGCGCTTTCGTCCGTAATGTGGGAACGCGAGCACCGGCCTGGCCTGTCAGCTCAGCTGATGGCACTTGGACTGCGTTCCCAGGAGCAGCCAGCCAGGGATGCCTGGCCCAGGTGTCGCCCCCGTCCCAGCAAGCTCGGGCCAGGGACCTCCCCACCCAGCTGTTCTTGCTGTCACGGAGAGTCCGAGAACTGGGCGCCAGGAAGGAAGGCCTGCCTGCTGCCTGGGCTGCGGAGGGTCAGGGCTGGCCGAGCTGGCGGCCGGCCAGCTGCAGCGGGGCCTTCCCTGGAACGCGGCCCCTCCTCCCTTCCCAGCCCTCCCGCCGCTCCTGGCAGGAGGGAGAAGGGGTCATGGGTGCCCCCACTCTCTGAGCTGGGAGTGGAGAGGGTCAGGAGGAAGCCTGGAACACCTCGAGGGCCGTGCCCACTCTGCCCTGTCCCACGGGGAGGACACCTTGGGGCACATGCGCGTGAGCTGTTTCCATCGCCTCACCGGGGCGAGGGGGAGAGACCATGTGTGGGTGACAGCGGGTGTGCTGGAGCGTGTGTGCAGAGGTGCTCAGATGGTGGCCGTGTGCTACGATTCTGCGGGTTCAGGGTGCCTCTGGACGTCGAGGGGTTAACTTCTCCCACTCCTGCCCCTGGGGCCCAGCCTCCTTGGCCCCTCTGGAATGCTGGGACCTGCTGCCACCAGCCCTGTCTAGACCTGCTCTTGGGCAGCCCTGGGGACCAAGGAGGAGGGACAGGACAGGACTGACCAAGCGCTGCCCTCTTCGGGGCCTGGGGAGTGCAGGGTGGGGTGTGCCCTCCAGTGCGGCCTCCAGGGATGCTTTGAGAGCGTCCAGGCCCTGCTGCCCAATGTGAGGCGGAGGGGAGGAGGGCCTCCCTCCCTCTCCACTCTGCTGTCTGGGCTCGGAGCACCGCCATACTGGGTCTTGTCCCCTGGAGGCTCCTTAAAAGGCAACACAAGGCGGGAGCCCAGGGCAGCCTGGAAGGGGGCGGCTTAGCGTCTTGCAGTAGCGGAGTTCTGAGCTGTGAGAGTCTCGGAGTGTCCATAGGACCCGACCCACTATCGACACCCACCTATTACAGACCCTGCCACAGGCCATGCCAGCCCCCGGCTGTGCCAGGCACCACCCCCGCCCTCCTTCCCTGCAAGCCACTGGGTTAATGGTGAAGGACAAGGATATGAGAAATCGGCTGGGTTGGCCTGGCGGTTAAAGCGGTTGGAGCTCACATGGCTGACGCCATGGTTTGAGTCCTGGACCCGGTGGCTTTGAAAAACACACTGGGAGCATGTGCATGTGAGCCCAAAATCCCCAGAGGAGACGGGGTTGCGGCGTGGCCCTCCCCATGGGGGTGTTTCTGCCCCTCATCTCTCTCTGGTGGATGGATGCGCCCTCTGGCAAAACTCAAACACCTCATTACCAGCAGTTGTGGGGAGAGATGGTAATGGGGGTGCTAGCTTAGGGGTGACGGAGGGAGGCCACCAGGAGTGAGGCACCCTCAGCTGTGCCGTGGGATGGGGACGGGCGGGCCCGCTCTAGGCCCTGGGCATGGGTGCAGCTGTGGGAAGGCTGGGAGGAGGGCCCAGCTCAGGGCGGCTGGCGCTGCTGGGGGGCAGTCCATGTGCCCCGTGTCTCCCCAGCCGTGTGGTGCGCCACTTCGGAGAGCATGCCAGGTCGCTCAGAGGTCCTCCGCCTCTGGGTGGGGCAGCCCTGAAGGGGTAGGGGCTTGATTAGGAAGCTGTGGCCGCGTCCAGGAGAGTACTGACGTGGGACGAAGCAGGGTGGCGCAGTGGAGGGGTGACGGCAGACAGCTCACGGTGGGCCGCCCCAGGACCTGCTGACAGGGCCCTGTGCGCGCATCACAGACCACCTGGCATTCTTCTCGTTCTTTCTGGACTTTGTCAGAGGGGCACGCGCTTGCCAGAGAGAGACAGAGGGACCTAGGGAGAGGGAGGAAGCCGCGGTGGGGTGTGGCCAGGCCGCAGTCCCTTAGCCTCCATTTCTCCAGCTGGTTGATTCAGGGCGTGCACATGTGCCTGGCGCGTGTCTCAAACTGCCGGGGCCAGGATTCAAACCATGGCTGGCCATGTGGGATCTGACTCCCTTAACCACGAGGACACGGGGCCCGACCGCACAGCCTCGCTATGTGATGCGAACAGCTGGGTGCTCGACTCTGAGCTGAGGGGTCGGGGAGGGGAAGGCAGCTTCGACTACTCGAGGGCTGAGAGGCCTCCTTCACGCACTGAGTCAGCAGGGCAGCGCACACGGAGGCCCGCGGGGAGGGGCCGAGAGCAGGTGGTCGGGCCGTGCCCTGTGCCAGAGGCTTTGCCGACCTGTCACGTTGTGCCTGCAGGGGGCTGACGCATACCCTCTGCACAGACAAGGACCCTGAGGCGGGGAGAGTTCTAATGGCTTCCCCAAGGCTCATGGCCTAGCCGGCCAGAATGGGAAGCCAGGACTGGGATTCCAGAGCCCAGGCTCCCAGTCACTCCACTGCTTTGCCTCCGTCATTCTTTCACGCAGCAAATCTAGAGCCTGCTCTGTGGTGCAGTGGTTAACAGCTGTGTGTGAGAGCTGGATCCCCCGTGAGCAGTTCGAATCCTGGCCCCGGTGTTTGGAAATACATGCCAAACACGTGTGTGTGTGCCCGAAGTCCTGACAGGAAGGAGTGGAAGAGAAGGGGGTGCGCGTTGTGACCCTGCCCTGGCGGGGTTTCTCTCCCTCGCTCTCTCTGGCGCATGCCCTCTGGCAATAGAAAATGTATTATGTGTGCTAGGTTTGGTTTTCCGAAGCACTGAAAATACCAAATAATGCCCGCTCTCAAGGAACTTAGTCTCTGAGGAAACAGGCATGAACAGCGCTGGCGAGGGGCCGGCAGGAGCGTGGTGGTTAGGCGGCTGTCCCACACGGCGGCTTGAGAGTCACGTGCACACGTGTGCATGCGTGCCTGCAATCCCAACAGGAGAACGAGCAGAAGGGACTGTGTCGTGGATCCCCCACGGGGTTGCCTTCTCGCTCTGCCCCTCCCTGATGGTCTCTCTCTGCACAGGCATGCACCCTGGAGGGAAGAAACACAGAGAATAAAACCTGGCAGGTACTGCAGTGCGCTAGCCAGCTGGCCGACTGCTGAGAGCGCAGGCAGTGGGTGGGAAGTGTGGAGGGCGTGACATTTTAAGATCCAGTGGCCTCCTCTGAAGGTGATATTTGAATAAAGACTTGCAGATATGAGCGGCCTCAGGGAGGTAGGAGGGAGGGCAGCTCCAAGTCCTGGGGCAGGAGACAGGTCTGAGCAGTCTGCCGGCCTGGCTGGGCAGGACTCGGAGGCCTCGTCCGTCCGTCCGGCAGTGCAGGGTTCTGTCCCTGATGGGGAGCCAGCGAGGGGAGGGACAAGGCGATAGGACTGAGGCCTAGCAGGGCCAACTGCAGCTGTGGGAGGGTGCACGGCACAGGCGGGGACAGCAGGAGGCCGTGGCAGTAACCCAGGCGAGGGCTGAGCGGGCCGCAGTGGCTGTGGGGACAGCAAGGTCGGCCTGGGCCCTAGAGGTGCCGGAAGGTGGCCTCCACCGAGCTGGAGAACAGGCCAGGGCAAGGTGGGGCGCCACCAGGTTGTTCGCCCCAGCTCCGCGAAGGACAGGGTGGCTGTCTCCTGAGAGCCGTTGGGTAACAGGCATGAAGTAGGAGAACTTGGGAGCAGCCTGGGGTGTCATCTGGCCTTGTCAGACACCCCAGGGGCGGTGAGCCCCGGGCTCTGGAGCGCAGGCCCGGGTCCGAGCAGCAGAGCGTCAAGTGCTCACTGAAAGCCACTGGGCTGCTGGCGCAGGACCCAGGGCCCACTTGGCCAGGAGCCTCACCCTGTCGCCGAGTGCCCTGGCCCCACTCACCCCTCCCTCCTGTCCTTGCCAGCACCTGCCAGGAGACGGGGCAGTGGGAGTGCGACCAGGAGCCATGCCTGGTGGACCAAGACATGATCAACGCCATCAACCAGGGCGGCTATGGGTGAGAGGCCCAGGGAGGGTGGCCAGCGGGCACATGTGCACACGCACACACATGTATGTACACTGCCCGAGACGCTCGTCCTGCCTCACACCTGGGGACACACTCACACATGCACACGCACTGCCTGAGAAGTCCTTCTGCCAGCACACCTGCAGGCACACGTGCACACACGTGCACACACATGCACATACACGACCTGAGACGTTTGTCCTGCCAGCACACCTGTGGATACACGTGCACACACACATGTATGTACAATGCCTGAGATGCATGTCCTGCCACACACCTGGGGACACATGTGCATGCACAAACACATGTGCACTGCCCAAGATGCTCGTCCTGTCACATACCTGCAGACATACACACAGACACGTGCACACACATGTACACTACCCAAGATGCTCGTCCTGTCATACACCTGCGGACATATGTTTGGATACACGTGCACACACACGTATGCACTCTGCCCGAGATGCTCAGCGTGGCGCACACCTGTGGACACACATTCACACACACACATTCACACACACACACACACAAGATATTAGTCATTCTTTTGCTTGTTCTGCCGCACACCTGCGAACATATGTGCAGACACATGTGCACACACATGTATATACTCTGCCCGAGATGCTCACCCTGCCGTGTACACATGTGCACACACACGCACACATACACTGTCCGAGACGCTCACCCTGCCGCACACCTGCACTTGCATCGTGTATGTGCGTGCACCTAGCCACTGCAGGCAGGTACTACAGGGCCCAGCCTGGGCAGGTCTGTGACGCCCTTCCATACCCTGTCCCTCAGGTGGCGGGCTGGGAACCACAGCGCCTTCTGGGGCCTGACACTGGATGCAGGCATCCGCTACCGCCTGGGCACGCTCCGGCCGTCCTCCTCCGTCCTGAACATGAATGAGGTTCACGTAAGTCCGCCCGTGTTCACGGTCACACTGCCCACCTGGCACCCTGGCCCCGCTCCTCGGGGGCCTGGGCCTATCCCTTACCAATAGGCTGTGTCCTCGAGCAAGTGACCCCTTCCCTGGGCCTACAAGACATGGTGCACTGGAAGCACTCAGACTTGGCTTGAGTCTCGTGTCCCGCGTCACCCCTCCTGGCCTCTCCAGCCTGGGAAAAATGTTGCTGGCCCCAGTACAGCTGGGTCGGGGCCCAAGGGGCCGAAGGGCACCTTGGTATTTTGGGAAGGGAGGGACACTCCTCCAGCTCTGGCGAGAGCAGCAGTTCTCGGAAAACGCCAGCTCAGTGGGACCCCAGAGGGGGAAGGGGCTGCTCCCCTCCCACTAGTCGGGGGCCCTCAGGGAGAGCAGTGGGAAGCAGAGCCGAGCAGACACAGGGCGAGGAAGGGGAGCTTCCGCAGGACTGAACGGGTGCGGGTGCTGGCTGGAGGGTCTGTCCCCAGGGGCAGTGGGGGAGCAGCTGCCGTGGAGAGCCCTCCCCGCAGAGCGCCTGCAGTCCGAGGCTGGGGAGCAGACTGCACCTGCGCTCACCTCTGGGCCTCTGGGTCTTTTCTGCCTCCTGCCGTTTGCCTTGGCAGCCTGCCTGGTCACAAGGCCACTGCCTTTCCCTCCCTTGCCCTTCAGGGCCTGAAGCCTAAGGCCCTGGTGGGCAGGTCAGAGGCACGGAGGGGAGGCAGGGCTGAGAATAGGCGCTGAGCACTCCTGGCCTGGCGCTGCCCTGGTCCTGGCCTCCACTGTGCAGCAGGACTGGTCACCCCGTCCTGCTCCCTGGGGAACACTCATGGTGCTTGGTTGTCCACTCCCACCAGAGCTGAAGCTGGCTGCCTGCAGAAAGCCCCGGACTCCCCGCGCCCTCCAAGCCCCACGGGGGTGGGGGACAGCAGAGGACAGGAGGCAGACAGGGCTGTTTTGCCTTGCAGACAGCACTGGGCCCGGGGGAGGCACTGCCCACGGCCTTTGAGGCCTCTGAGAAGTGGCCCAACCTGATCCACGAGCCCCTGGACCAGGGCGACTGTGCAGGCTCCTGGGCCTTCTCCACGGCCGGTATGTCCAGGGCAGGGCTGGCTCAGTGGGCGAGGGGGCCTAGGCCGGAACCCCCTGACAGCCCCCTGCCTCTCCTGCAGCCGTGGCATCGGATCGTGTCTCCATCCACTCTCTGGGACACATGACGCCTGTCCTGTCACCCCAGAACCTGCTGTCTTGCAACACCCATCACCAGCAGGGCTGCCGTGGTGGGCATCTCGACGGTGCCTGGTGGTTCCTGAGGCGCCGAGGGTATGCAGGGAGGGTGGAGCGTTGGGGGCAGGTGCCCTGGTGCTCTGCTCCACGCGGCTCCACCTCTGCACCCACCCACTGCCTCCCCAGGGTGGTGTCCAACCACTGCTACCCGCTCTCGGGCCATGTGCAGGGTGAGGCTGGGCCGGCTCCCCGCTGCATGATGCACAGCCGGGCCGTGGGCCGGGGCAAGCGCCAGGCCACTGCCCGCTGCCCCAGTGGCCACGTCCACGCCAACGACATCTACCAGGTCACGCCTGCCTACCGCCTCGGCTCCAGTGTGAGTCTACACTCGGGTTGGGGCAGAGGCAGGGGTGTTGGGCACAGCCGAAGGCAGAGCTCTGCCCCACACGTGCCTCGATGCCCGTTCTCCCCTCCAGGAGAAGGAGATCATGAAGGAGCTGATGGAGAACGGCCCTGTCCAAGGTGAGTGCCCTGGGCCGCCCAGTCCTGAAGCCCTGCCTGCTCCAGGCCAGTGTCCCCTCCCACTGAGCAGCCGGTCCAGGGGCTGGGAGTGGAGGGGTGAGTTGCACGTGCGCAGCCTGGGCACCCAGGCCTGTGATCAGTGCACCTCTGCCCACAGCCCTCATGGAGGTGCACGAGGACTTCTTCCTATACCGGGGCGGCGTCTACAGCCACACGCCTGTGAGCCGTGGGAGGCCAGAGCGCTACCGCCGGCACGGGACCCACTCCGTGAAGATCACAGGGTGAGGGCTCTGGGCAGGGCCGGGCCAGCAGCCTTGCTTCAAGTCTGCACTTGCAAAGCCAGGACTGCCCACCCCGCTGCAAAGAGGAGGGAACCGAGACTCCGAAACAGGAGGGTCCTGCCTGGGAAGAGTTGCCACGGAGAATTGAGAGCCTGGGGAGGGTTTCTAGAAGCTTCCATCCTTACACACAGGATAAAATAACCCCAATGAATACAGAGAAGGGTCTACACTGTGCAGCCCCCCCCATCTCAGCACCCGTTCCAAGTCTGCCTGACACCTCGCGTGACCTGGTCACTCCCCCATCTGATAAAACGGGAGATATTAGTCATTCTTTTTTAAAAAAAAAAATAATTGGGACCAGCAGTTAGCATAGTGGCTATGTCGCTGGACTCCCATGTAGTCGACCGCGGTTCGAGTCCTTGACCTGGTGGCTTAAAACACGCCGGGCGCGTGTGCGTGCGTGCCCAAGATCCCAAGAGAATGGAGGAGAAGGGACTGCGGCGTGGCCATCCCCCCAGGGGATGATTTCTCACTTTCTGTCTCTCTGTCTCTGTCTGGTGAGCGCACGCGCCCTATAGCAACAACAACAACAATTATTTCATTGTATTCATTCATTCATTTTAATTTGACCAAAGAGAGACACAGAAAGAGGGAAAGTAAGAAAGCAAGCCACCAGGTCCAGGATTTGAACTGCGGTCGACCACGTGGGAATGTCCAGCTCCTTAACCACCATGCTACCTACTGGCCTAAAATGTTAGTCATTCTTTCAGTGTCCTTTGCAGTGGGACATGTATGCAGGGCATCTCAGGTGCCCACATTCCCTGAGTCCCTTCCTTCTGGTCCTTGGCACTTAATGCTCTTGGGCTTCCCAAGGAGGGAGGGCAGGTAGGTGCATGGGGTCCCAGGATGTGCCCAGGACACAGGCCCTGAGCCCCCTGGGTGACGTCCCCCATGCGGGGCACAGATAGGAAGACTGAGGGAGGTGCAGAGAGGGACAGGACTTGCCTGAGTCCCAGCAGTGGCCCCTGAGAGCGGGTGGGCTCGGTGTCACTGCGGTCTGCCCACAGGTGGGGAGAAGAGACGCTGCCCGATGGGAGGACCCTCAAGTGGGATCTATGTGCCTTAATCTCCAAACATCCTGTCCCTCCTTGGCCCCTCCTCACAGACCGCTTGTCCCCAGACGGCAGCCAACTCCTGGGGCCCAGACTGGGGTGAGAGGGGCCACTTCCGCATCGTGCGTGGTGCCAACGAGTGCAACATCGAGAGCTTCGTGCTGGGTGTCTGGGGCCGCGTGGGCACGGAGGACATGGGCCACCACTGAGGCGCGGGCACCGCGGGGAGCAGCCCCCGCCCCGTCCCCCGGACCAGCCGGGCCCTAATCCGGCGGGTTCTGCTGACGCAGCGCCCGGCCTGGGAGCCGCGGGCAGGCGTGGCTGGAGTTCCTCCCAGAGGGCAGGGCCTGCAAACTCTGGGCCCCAGAGCCCCACCCAAGACCACCGAAGCTGGAATACCCCAGGCCTCCAGCCCCACTACCCCACCACCCCACCCCACTCTGTGTTCTTTTCAAGATATTTATTTTTCTTTTCACTGTTTTAAAATAAAACCAAGGGGGCCACCAGGTGGTGTGGTGGTTAGGGCCACTGGATTTCCACGTGGTGGCCTGTGGTTGGAATCCCAGACCTGGTGGCTTGAAAATCATGCCAGTGCGTGTGCGTGACGCCCGAAATCCCCAAAGGAGAGACTGTGGCGTGGCCATCCCCCAGGGGCTGATTTCTCAGTCTCCCTCTCTCTCTCCTCTCTGGTGAGCACACACATGCCCTGTGGCAAAACCACTAAAAACAAAATAAAAAGTAAAGCCATGGCCACCCCTAGTGCAAGCTGAGCCCTGGGGGTCCCACAGGGTTCGCCGTGGCTCGATGGTGGCTGGATGGATGTGCCCGCTACATGCGTGCGCCCGAAACCGTGATGGGAGGGAGGGGCAGTGGAGGAGAGGGACTGCAGCCTGGCTCCCCATCAGGCTCTCCCTCTCTCTGTCTCTGTCTCTCCCTGGTGAGCATGTGCCCTCTGGCCATTAAAAATGTATATTTAAAAATAAATAAAAGACTGAAGTGTCCCTAACTACCTCGCCACCTCTGGGAGCAGAAAGCCAGCCCGGAGCTGGGGCGGCGGGGTTCGATGGCAGGGAGGACTGCCCGAGGCATTGCTGGTGCAGAGAGGACCTGGGACTCACCCCTGCTCAGCCTGTGTCGTTGCCCTGGGTACTGACCCCTCGGAGTCAGGCGTGAATGGCATGGCCTGTGGCCCCCAAAGAAACGTGGGCTGTGGGAACCACCTTTAGACGCTGAGTCAGCGCTGCCTGCAGGGGGAGCCCGGCCCACCAGCAGCCCTGGCGCCGGTGCCCAGCAGGCAAGGGGGGCAGGACCCCACCACTCCGGGGCCCTGTCTCTGCAGATCAGCCTCTCCAAACCACCGAAGCAGAGGGGACACCTCTCCTTCCCCTGCCATCCGCCCCCCCCAACCCCCCGAAGCAGAGGGGACCCCTCTCCTCCCCCTGCCACTGGGCCGAGCTGAGCCACCTCCCTGAGCCAGCCCCCACCACCTCCGTGGGCGCCCAGAGCGGGCAGAGCTAGCCTGGCCTCAGCCTAGCTCCGGGCAGGGAGGACCTGGCA